AAGGACCTGGAAGCTCAGGAGGCTGGTACCACAGCAGCGGGTTACAGCTCACACCCTTAGGAGGAGAAGGGAGGATGCGTGGGGGATGTTGGTTCTGCCCTGGAGCGATGGGTGGGCAAGGTCAGCAGGGGCCCATTAGATGGCAGTGAGACCCTAGTCCAGCCGTGGGCAAACTACGGCCTGCGGGCCGGAACCGGCCCGTTTGAAATGAATAAAACTAAAAAAAAAAAAGACCGTACCCTTTTATGTAATGATGTTTACTTTGAATTTATATTAGTTCACACAAACACTCCATCCATGCTTTTGTTCCGGCCCTCCGGTCCAGTTTAAGAACCCATTGTGGCCCTCGAGTCAAAAAGTTTGCCCACCCCTGGTCTAGTCAGATGGGCCAATAGCAAAACGTGTCAGTGTAACAAGCGCTGGCTCTGGAGGAAGGAGACGGAGACACCAGAGCACAGCATGTGGAACAGATTGGAAACAGCCGCAGGAATGACGCTGCCCCTTCTAAGGCAGCAGGGGGCGCAGGCACAGGGCACAGAGTGCAGGGTTCTGGGGAAGGGGGGGCCTGCCTGCCCTGAAGTCAAAGAGAAGGAGGTGGGCTGGGCACCTGGAGCGGAGCTTTTTAATTTTAAAATGTTTTTATTGACTTTTTGAGAGAGGAAGGGAGAGGGAGAGAGAGAGAGCAACATCGAGAGAAACATGGACAGGACTCCTGCACGCCCCCCACTGGGGATGGAGCGGCAGCCTGGGCCTGCGCCCTGACCTCCTGGTGCACAGGAGACGCACAACCACTGAACCACGACGGCCGCTGAGAGCACTGTAGTCACCCCCACCCCCAGCGGGGGCGGGAGCCATGCCTGGGCCTCCTGCAGCGACTGCCCGCACCCTCGGCCCCAGGGGACAGGCAAACTGGCCTCTCACATTTGAAAACTCTGGCGAGAAGGCTGCTCCGGGGACAGAAAGGGTCACCTCATGTGTGGATCTGCGGAGAGACCTGGCTTCTGCGAGGAACACAGGACAGGACGGGAGCGGTGACAGGCGTCCCGGTCATGCCCGGACTTCCCAGCAGGGAGTCCTGCCCCGGCCGTCCTTCAGCCTCAAAAAGAGCGACGGCTGCACAGCGGTGGCTGAGCCTAATGCCCCGGACCCGACCCTCATGTTAGGGACACTTGGCCCGATGCACCCATTTCCAAGGATGGGGCCAGGGCACTCCTGAGTGTCGCACCACCAGGCGACGGGCCTCAGGCCTCGAAGCTGCTAGCCTGCCTGCTTCCCACGCAGGCCGGTGCTGGACACCATTCATTCTCCGAGTGCGAAAGGGAAAAAACAAAACCAACAACTAGAACCGCACGACTTGAACCACAGCATTTAACAGACCACAGCCTCACACTGCCGGCTTCCTCACCTGTACAGGGCACGCACTTTTCGTTTTCACAGGAATAAAGACCGCCCGATCACTGGGTGGTGGTGCAAGACGTGTTTGGTCTGTGCCTGTGCGGTGCGGGTGGAGCCTCGGGCGCCGGCCCAACACGGGACACGGGGTAAGTTTCGTGGCAGGAACGTCCTCCCAGGACCGGGGCCTCGTGTCTTTGTGTCGAGGGCGTGAGCTCAGCGCCTGCTGCCTGTTAGGGCTTCCTGCTCCGTGTCAGCTCTGCTCAGGAGCTGCTCCCTCCGGGTTCACTCCCCGTTTTCTCAGGAAGGACGTGGGTGAGCCAGTAACTGAAGAAGGCGGAGACCACTCGGGCTTGGTCTGCAAAGAACAAAACCAGAACAACAGAGAAGGGAGCGCTGGACACGGTTACCCTGTGGACAGCAGCCCGTGGGCCCAGGGTGGCCGCTCCAACACCTATGACTCGCAGCTTTGGTATAAGGATGCTGAGGGAGCCGCCTACGCTGGGAACCACATCACATAAAGAACACAGCGGGAGCCCTGGCTGGTGTGGCTCAGTGGATAGAGCGCCGGCCTGTGGACTGAAGGGTCCTGGGTTCGATTCCCGGTCAAGGGCACATGCATGGGTTGCGAGCTTGATCCCCAGTAGGGAGCGCACAGGTGTCTGCATGGCTGACAGAGCTGGTCCCCCCCCCCCGCAGACGCCCCCTGCAGGCCGCTCAGCGCTCTGCCCTGACTCCTGACCACGGGGTGACCCCAGTCCTGTGGGCGCGTACCTGGCGGCAGGGTGCAGTGCTCCTCGAACACCTGCAGGGCGCGCCGCAGCCCCCCAGGATCCCGCAGGAGCAGCAGCGCCTTCATGTGGCCCAGGGCCCGCAGGTCGGAGGGGGGCACGCTGCCAGCGCCCAGGCCCCTCAACAGCGCCTCCGAGGCGGCCAGGAAGGCTGGGTCCGAGCCCTTGGAGACACCTATACAAAGGCAGGACCCGGGAGACGCACTCGCGTTGTCCTTCCGTCAAAGGAGAACGGCTCCTACTCGGAGGCCGCGGGGGAGCAAGGCCCGGAGGCCACGGAGCAGAGCCCAGCAGGAGACACGCATCCTGCTGCTCCCGGGAACTGGGCTCCGCTCCGGGACCGTCAGGAGAGCAGCCTCCACGCCACTGGGCACCGCGGGGGGACAGGACAGGACGCCGGCCCTGCAGACGGTCAGGCCTCTGGGAGCAGCAAGGAGACGCGGGACCGGCGCTCCGCTGCTGCCTGAGGACGGCGTGTCCTCTCCTGTCACCATCCACGCGCCCCAGGCTGCGGGCGCTCCTGCATCGGTCCTGCGTGCAGTTCCCAGAACGTGCTGAGGGTGTGGCCTGATGGCCTCTAGGAACTCTGAGAACTCCCAAGTGTGATCTCCTGAAAGCCCGTCCTCCCCCGGCCGGTCACCGGAGCCAGGCCTGACCCTCGCCCCCTCCTCCTGTCGCTCTGCTGCGGCCGGCCTGCCAGTTACTGTCTTTTAGCTGAATCTAATCTGCTGCCTAAACTCGTGTTTGAGTTTTTAATTTGTTATTACATTTTTCAGATCTAGGATTTCCATTTCATTATCTTAATAGATTCAAATGAACTGGTGAAATTCTGCAATTTCCCCTCTGTTTTTGAACATCATGATTATAGCTATTTTAATTAAAATTCCTTGCCTGATAACATCGGGCATATTGCACTTTTTTTTAGAAATAGAGCCGATTCCAACACGGACGTCGGGGTACGCGCCGGGAGACCGTGCTGGGAGCCCGGCCGCGCTATGCCTCCCGCCGTGTGCTGAGCCAAGCGCTGGCGGGTCCTGGTAACAACTTCAATATTCTCATTTCTGCCTCAAAACTAATGGTTGTTTTGAATATCGGTTACTTTGTATTTTAAACATTTAAATATTATACTATTTTTGCTTCTTTTTCCAAATACGTAGAAGCCATTATTCAAAAGAAAAACAGGGAAAAACATACCATCATAAAAATACATTTCCTGTGTTGACTTCAAAAAATCGAGGATACCCTCTGCCTGGTCGTCGGAGCCTTTGCCCCCGTCCTGCTCGGCGTCCACGCTGTCTTCACGGTCCTCCTTGTCCCCTGCGTCCCCCGGGGCCTCGGCCTCGGAGCCGCCCCCTCCGGCCCCCTCGCTGGAGTCCCCCAGCTCCA